GAGTTTGAGGTCAGGTTGATCATTGTTGGCAGAAATATTTGCCAGTGGGAAACCTAGTGGTCTTGAACATGTTAAATCTATGTCTCTGACACTGGACAGTTATTTTTCCATTATTTTATTTCTTTATTGATTCCATAAGTGCTATTGCTTTTGTTTTCAAGCATGACATCTTATTGGCTTAAGGGGTTTGCAGATACTTTAAGTATTCAGTCACTTGAGGCTCAGTTTCAGAGAAAAAGCAGACATTCATTACAGACAGCATCATAGCAGGTTGCGAAAAGGTCAAAAGCAGCAAAGGTGTAATTCTTTGTGACAGGAGACAAAGTATTAAAATCAAGTTTGAAATATTCCAGGGTTTTGTCAGAGTACATAACATTTTAATGTCCCTGGACTGCAGGATTGCAGCACAATCAGTACCAGCCTTTAAAATAGGTATTTATAAAATACATAGCACTCTAAATTTCATGACTGATCATGAGCATTACTGTTCTACCCAAACAAGATATTTTGTGAATAGGAAGCTATGTTAAGTGATCATCTGGTGTGAAGTGAACCTGTAGCACTTGATAAGCATACAGCTTATCACTTGGAGAAAAAACTTGGAGAAACCTGCCAGACAGAAATCACTGCAAACACTGTCAATACATTGATTTCCTTTTCTTTAATTGAGTAGCAGGACTTTCAGTGCCTCACTAATGCTGCAAGACTTGCAATGCAGGTGCGATTTAAAAGCTCCCTGTGCACTGTCCATACATGTCATTGTGTGCCTGGTCAGGCTGAGAATGAAAGACACCTAGGGGAGTTTGCGGATAGGGTAGGGGGTCTGGGGACCTTTCTTTCTGGGAGCTGTGCTTCTGGCCATGCAGGCAACAGTTATTGTGCAGAACATCAAGGAGGGGAAGTGAATGGGTTTGTGATGATGGTGGGGAGGGTATCCAGCCCAGGTCTGTAAATGCATGTGATGTCTGCAGTGTTGCTACAGCTGCCTTGATCAGGGTTAGAAATTTGTGTCTGCCAGCTGGCCCCACTGACACTCTCAGGGATTGTTTATCTAGGTCCTAGTGCATCCTTTACATTATTCATTTGTGATAATCCTTGTATGTGTAGGTGTACATGACTGTGTGTGTGAGTTTTTCTCTTTTGAAAAGCCAGCTGGGATGACTGAGTGCACCGGTTTCTTGCTGCTTTTAAAATGAGACTCTTTTTATCAACTAACACCCATGCTCTTACTAATTTCAGCTTGGTGCTATTTTCCTCTCACCATCAGCTATCCCATCAGTTGTTAACACAGCAGACAGCTCTTAAATGGATAATGTCATTCAATGCCTGCCACCTCTGCGAAGATGCAGAGACATGTGATGCAGGAGCAACAAGCCAAGTAAAAAAGGGTGGCTCATTTGCTCAGGCTGCATAATGACTGTCATGTCAACCTGCAGGTCCACTGGGTGTTTTTTTTTTTTTTTTTTTTTTACTGTGATCCCTACAAAAAACAGCCTGAATGGTTCAAAATCACATTAAATGTATGACCACCACTTTTTCATTAGTTTCACAGAGTTTAATTTTTCATAGAGTTTCACTATTCATAGAACTACAGTAGTAAAGCGGTATGATTGTTATTTGATGCCACATCCATGATGAAAGGTTATATGTTTTAGAATAATTTAGGTATCCATAGTTGTGAACTGTGAGTGGAACATGATTTGAGGAAATATAAGAGAAACTTCTAGAACAAATGCATGATCAGAGGCCTTCAATTATCCTTATACACAGTCCCCTCCAAAGCTACGGGAACAGCAAGGCCAATTCATTTGTGTTTGCTGTAGACTGAAGACATTTGGGTTTGAGATTAAAAGATAAATATGAGTAGAGAGTTTAGAATTTCAGCTTTTATTTCCTGGTGTATATACATGCAGATGTGTTAAACAACATAGAACATAGCACATTTTTTATCAGATCACCCAATTTGTAGGCAAGCAAAATTATTGGAACATGTGACTCACAGGTGCCTGTTAGATTGATTGTTTAAACAATAGCTCTGAATATCTGGTTTTAGCCTTCAGTTTCACCTGTGAAGACTGCACTTCTTGTTAAAAAAGATAAGCCAACATGAAAATCAGGAAGCTGTCTCTGGGAGAAAAGCAAGCCATTATGAAGCTGAGAAAAGAGGGAAAATCTATCAGAGGCATTGCACAAACATTGGGCATAGCTAATGCAACAATTTGGAATGTACTGAAAAAGAAAGAAACCACTGGTGTACCAACAACTAGACCTCAAACAGGTCAGTCAATGAAAACAACAGCTGATGACAGAAACATTGTGAGAGCTATGAAGAAAACCCCCAAAACAAGTCACTAACCTCACCAACAACCTCCACAGGGCAGGGGTGAAGGTATCACAATCAAACATTCAAAGAAGACCTTGAGAGCAGAAATATAGAGACCATACTACAGTAAGAATCAGAAATGATTGGAATTTGCAAAGAAATACAGAGATGAGCCACAAAAGTTCTGGAACCAAGATTAACCTCTACCAAAGTGATGGAAAAGCCAAAGTGTGGAGAAAGAAAGAATCTGCTCAGAATTCAAAACATACAAGCTCACCTGTGAAACATGGTGGAGGTAGTGTCATGGCTTGGGCTTGCATGGCTGCTTCTGGAACAGCCTTGCTAATTTTTATTGATGATGTAACTCATGCTAGTAGCAGCAGAATTAATTCAGAAGAATTAATCAGAAGAAGTTATTTATTTTAATTAACTTCAAGACTTATCTGTTCCTATACTTTTGCTAGCCTAAAAATTGAGTGGTCTGATATAAAAGGTTCAATGTTCTACCTTATTTAACACACCTAGATGTAAATACCAGGAAATAAAAGCTGAAATCCTAAACTCTTGTCTTATATCCATCTTTTTATCTCAAACCCAAATGAATTTTTTGCCATTCTAATAGTTTCAAAGGGGACTGTAGCTATATTTTGTCCACTACATGCTGTAGAATAGAACAAGGCAGAACAATCTGTCTTTGATACATGTAAAATAAGGAAAGATGTAGGCATGGCATCTGTGATATGATCAAAATGTTAGAAATAATGCTGGAATCTGAATTATGTAAAATACTGTGTAATTGATTAATCGTGATGTGCACTGGTGGATTAAGCATGAATGCAAAGGCACTGGTGAAGCAAAATGCTAACTGGTATTATGAAACTGAATCCATACTTTACCTGCAAAAATCAAATGTTACTTAGAAAGCAATTTATGGCTACAACTATCAGGGAAAATGTTGTTTCCTTCCACACAAATTCTGCACATTCACAAGTGCCCCAAAGTTTCTATAATCCAGTGGTATGAGCAGGGAGAGCTGCATAAACATACTTTCAAATAAATATGCCAATCAAACATATATGCATGCATATGTAATATATACAATACACACTGAAAAAATACAAAACTATCAAACACCAGCAATCAAAATAAACTCAGGACTGTTATCATCATTTCACCGTAGAACTGCACTGTCCCTGTTTTGATTTCTGCCATTACTAATATGTTAATATGAAGGACATTCACAGTCATAGATTCATTTGAATTCATAGATTCAAAATGTAATTAGCAAAAGTGACAAATCTGCAAATATGAACTCTTTGAAATATTAAATATTCCAAATGGCATGGTGCAGTTTTTTTTAGGCTGTAAAATATTTCAACTGTAAATAAAACATTTATTTAATCATTAACAAAATGTTTAAATTTTTTAAATCATTGACAAAATTATCTTTATAGTAACTTTAAAAATGTCTGGTTTATTTAGTCAAACATTGAACAATTTAATGTATTATTTTACAATGTTTCTGATTTGTTTATTTATTCAGCATTTTATCAACAGTGTCAGAAAATGGTCAGACACTTCACAGATGGGCTTGGCAAATTAGTGTCAGAATGATAAATGGGGGGGGAAAAAAAGAAGCAGTATATAAGTGAAGCAGTGTAACAAAAAAAGCCCATCTGGTCCACACCTCCTACTCTTGGCTGGCTCTTGATGAATAGCTTTCTCAGAGACAGAAACACAAGGACAATGCTAATTTCACACAGGCTGCAATCAGCTTCAGTCAGACTGTCATAAATGGAGCATGTGGTATGATTCCATAGCATAGCACATCAGTCAACCAGAAACTCATTGTGTAAGGATTGTCTGAATGCGCTATGTTCCACAGTCTGGTCTCAGAGTCTCACTATGATTTCACTGCGCTATGCCTAATTGGTAGGTATATAATGTGGTTTATAACTGTTCGATAATCACATAGATTACACCACCACAGATTTGCATTGCTGGTATTCAGAATGCTGAGTAATATAATCTTCCATGGAAAAACAATGAGGTCAGTACAGGATGAGCCATGAGTGGATGATATTGTAGTTTACCCATCATTTACAGTAACAAACTGAAGTACAATACAACCACAATACCTCACATAACAGTACAAATTGTTTACAGGTCTTAAGGTTTCTTCACATCTTTGTTTTATTTTTAATCTGACTGTTATTAAATAGGTTTTCTTTAACTTTGACTGTCATTATGCATGGATGTTTCTCACCCATTCAGAGATATCTCAGAGATATAATTGAACCAGCACTTATAGTATATCTAACACAAATTCTTCTACAAACTTCAGAAATAGTATATAACTGGCAAAGCATTTTACTGACAATAAGTAATAACAAATTTTATTTTATTTTTATATTTTGTTTGTTACTTATACAATGCATAATGTAGATTGTAAAAAATTGACTGTCAATTTTATAGTAATTTACCGGCAACAGAGCTGCAAATAATGTATTGTAATATTACAATATTGCAAATAAAATATTTGTATTCTGTAATCCAAAGCCTTACCCACTGAGCCACCATAACAAGCTCAATTAGCTTGCATTGAGTTAATGCAATCTTTTACTGCGAGTTAATTCAGTGGTGGAGGTAGTTGAATCAATATGAGTTAGTTGAGCTAGTTGTGGTGGCTCAGTGGTTAACGCTTTAAGTTACTGATGAGAAGGTCTGGGTTCAAATCCAAGCACAGCCAAACTGCCAGGGTTGGGTCCATGAGCAAGACCCTTAACATTCAACTCTGTTATATCTTATAACAATTGTAAGTTGCTCTTTTTAAAGAGTCAGCCAAATAAACAAATGTACTGGATTATGTGTTATTTTATACTATAATATATTACATTGCTTTACTGTAAGTATGTTTACAGTTGTTTATTGTAAATTTTGTACAGTAAATTACTGGAAGATTTACAGTCAGTTTTTTACAGTGATACTATAAATGAGCTTATGGGTTTCTAGTGAACCAAGGTACACATTTAAGGTTTAATAGAATACACAGTATATCCTATTTCTCAAATGCACATACTTAGTGCTACAATAAGAAACTTACTTTGAAATGGTTCTGATAAGATTAGAGATCATTTTAAATTAAGAAATTCAAGATGCATATAGTGCCATGTAGTTTGAAACTTGACATAATCTGGCATGATCATTTACATTTTTTTCTAAATCAAATGACAGACCAATTACATATTAGAAAGTTTAAAAGAATATTTTCATAAAAGCATAAAAATCCAGTTCTACCTTGCAGTCCGCTTGACAAAGCATTGATTTTACACCATATCCCGTTAACTACATCACCATATTTTTGGCTATGTAAGGGCCTGACAGAGGCTCATTCAGCATTTTGATACCCTGAAGGAATATGATATGCTGATTTTCCAAAAATGTGTGATTTACGTGGGCATTTCCAGTAGTTTATGTATACCAGCATCAACCATGTTTAATTTGAGTGAATCTAACTTTAGCTAGTTCAGCATTCAATTCAGTATAATTGCTGCATAACTGACAATGATATATAGTTCATAAATCAGTTTTGTCAATTTATTGTGTGCTATCTTATTGTGTGATAAGAATCTTAGACAAGAAGCTTAGTATATGTTCATTTTTCAGTTGATTAGCTTAACTATTCTCATTTTTATGTGTGCAGCTGATGTTTTAGTCAGCTACAGAACAGTCCCATGTGTCTTAACATGTATTCTGTATGTGGGAAGAAATGAAAGCACTTTGCTGTACATAAAAAATGTAGATCTGTACACTGCAGTTTCTTGTTTTAAATAGAGATATAAGTTTTGGGCTCAACAATAAACCAAATATTTCAGTGCACACATGGCCTTACTGCATTCTTCTGTACATATACATATGGAAATAAAGAGCTGAAGTGGCTGATAATATATGGTAACACGGTAATACACCCATGTTTACTGACACTCGATATATAACTAATTTAAAGAATTATAGTTAAAAGTAGTTTCAAGTGATTAATGTTGGTCTGCCATGCACTGTGTACCTGGCTTTTACTGTTGGCGGCTCCCAGATCTTCATCTCTGACGCTGAGTTTCAGAAAGGATGCAGATGTTCTTGTGGTCTGGGTGCACAGGTTTGAGAAACTGTTGCAATCATATATGTCTGTGAGAGTACACAGACATGCACATACACAGACACACACCACATATGAACATGTGAACAGTAGTACCTACTCAGACCTAGAACTAGCAGGTATTTGGAAGCAAATAGGTTGAATATCAGAAAACAATGTAAGTAAATTACTATATAAATAGTTTACTTGAAAATAAAGTTTATGAATAATTTTAATATATAAATCCAACTGGATTTAATGTTTAAAGCAACAAAATACACTTGTTCTTATATACAGACAGGTGACAAAAGAAAAATCTGGAAAAACCTGTATAACTGAGTGGAGAGACATAAATGGTGCAGATGTTCCCAGGCAGGTGCACTACATGAAACATTTAAGCAGAATGCTCTACGTCATGTATAAAATACTGAGTTGACCCAGTTGACTCAATTTTTGGTTCAAGATGGCATGAGGAAAAATGTCTTCAGTAACTTTGAAAGAGGGTTCTTTTTTGCCACACAACAAATATACACTGCAATGGTTTAGGGCCAAACGTAGCCAGAATTAGGAACAGTCAAGGTTAACAAAGAATATTGTTATAGTATCTGGCCCAGAGCTGTGCAGCTCCAAATGTTATTTTAATATCTAACCCAAATGGATTAAACTCAAATCTATGAAGCCCAAGTATTAAAAGTATTAAATTAGGAACAACACCACTGCCTTCAGATATATTACAATCCAAGTCACATTGAGTTCTTCACAGTGTTCTCTCATTCAGATGCTTCTCCCAACTGAGAAGCATCGACGGTGATGGGTGTACCAAAGAGCAAAGAGCAAAGGGGGGGGACGTCTACACCATTATTTCTCACTGAGGTTTTTTATCGGACTTGTTCATAAACCCAAGTCATGTCAGTGAAATTACAGTTCCTTCTTCTCTTGAGATACATTCTACAGCAATTATAAAATGGAAGCAGTAGTTCCCTTTCTACAACCAGTGCCCCACAATGGCAACCCAATTAACGGTAGTACATTACAAGACACTTGGGCTTTCTAAACCAGTGAAGTTTGGTGAAATGTTCTATAATTTCCACAATCGCCCCCTCCAATTTAATCAAACTTCCTCAAACTAGGTAATGCTGTGATGGGAGATACAGTACTTAACTCTCACTTGACCTTTTGAAGATAGCAAAATATTTCTACCAGGTGATAATATGCCTTTATACATATCACTAGAGATTAAATTGAGTTTTTCTCTCTCTTTGCCTAGGTACCTATAACAACTCTCAATCAAGAGATCCAAGATGGCAGTGCAGCAATAGCATGCAGCAGCCGCTCTGGATACAAAATAGTGCTTCTGATTCACAACTGTGCAGCAATGCACAGCTTGAACCACATCATCAAGTTTGCTGATGACATGACCATGGTAGGTCTTATCAACAAGAACGATGAGTCAGCGTACAGAGAAGAGGTGCAGCAGTTAACAGACTCGTGCAGAGCCAACAACCTGTCTCTGAACATGTACAAAACAAAAGAGCTGACTGTTGACGTGCTGTCTGGATGAGCACGGAGAGCACTGCATGACCACTCTCCGCTGAACATTGACAGCTCCTCCATGGAGATCGTCAAGAGCACCAAATTCCTTGTTCACCTGGCGGAGAACCTGACCTGGTCCCTCAACACCAGTTCCATAGCCAAGAAAGCCACAAAAGGGAGAGATATTTCTGATCTCCAGATACTGAAGTCATCATCCTAGTAAAGGTACAGGCCTACAGGTGTAGTAAAAGCTGTATGTTTATGAGTATCCTCACGTATGGGTATATAATAAAACACTGAGTTAAGGTCCATGGTGCTAAAGTAGGAATTACCCCCCTGGAAGGCAAGGGCATCAGCCTGATCGGGGAGTTGGTATGCTTTTTTGTCCTTTGATTTAGCCATCTAAAATGAGTACATATCAAAATCATTCACCTGATGACTCCCATACAAGAACAAGGGGTGATACCCACTCTCTCTTTGATTTCTGAATAAGACCTTGCTCCTTCATTTCATCAAGGGTCTGCTTTGGTTTCTGGTATCTGGTATTGTACAGAGGGACGCTTTCAAAATTCATCCTTCAGTCTGATCCTGTGAACTACATTTTTAAGCTTCTCCAGTCCAGTCTATCACATGAAAAAAAAATCCTTTTTATACCTTTTATAATCCTTTTATGTCGGGTGTTGCTGACATGTAAAATTTCCATACTATTATGCCAAACAGGGGAGGACATGGGCAATCTTAGGTTTGCACTTCAATACAACAGGGTGACTAAGCAAGTTAATTACTGTACCTTTAATGGCATACATCTTTCAACCCAAAGAAGTTCTTCGGTGCAGATCTTGATGTTGTTGGTTGGCACTGTGGAGCCAACATCACACTTTGATTCAAAATGATGACAAAAAAATGAGGAGGCCCCACATGACTTTAACTTAACCATTTATTTAACAAAATAAAATAAAAATAAAAATATAATGATACATGTAAATCAGTAGCATCAACAGCATGGTGTGTACTGTGGTGTGTGTAATGGATGAGTGGAAAACAATGAGAGAAACTGACTGAGTCCACCAGCTTATATAGCTGAGCAGACCAGCCCACCCAGGTGATATACATTTGACTTAACTTTTACCAAACCCCACAAAGGACCAGACAGCCCGAAAACCAGAAAATAGAAGGCTGTCACACCCTCGCCATAAGAGCGGGGTTCACCACGAAATATTTCATCACATCCCTTTGTCATGGTACCCCCAAGACCCAGCAACCTCAGTACCTAAGGAAGCAATTTAAGAGTAAAGAGAACACAGGACAGAAAAGGATTAGAGTAATCAGGAAGGTTAAACTATGACAAGAATGTGCTAGCGAGGGCATCAGCAGCTACATTGCCCTTGATGTGTCACATATCCAAGTGATAAGGCTGCAAAAACAATGCCCATCTCATCAACCTTTGGCTGGGATTTTGAAGAGATTGCAGAAAAGTTAACAGATTATGATTGGTGTATACAACAACCAGAGCACTGCATCTGACATAAACATCAAAATGTTGGAGGGCCCAAATGAGTGCAAGAGCTTCTTTTCAATTCAATTCAATTCAGTTTTATTTGTATAGTGCTTTTAACAATAGACATTGTCACAAAGCAGCTTTACAGAAATAAATAGATTCAAATTAAATTAAACCAAAATAAATTGTAAATATGTGAATTTATCCCTAATGAGCAAGCCAGCGCCAATGATGGCAAGGAAAACTCCCTAAGACGATATGAGGAAGAAACCTTGAGAGGAACCTGACTCAAAAGGGAACCCATCCTCATCTGGATGCTAAAGGATAATGCAATTATAAATGAATCCCTTCTATAACTGTGTACTATATGGTCAAATAGTGCAATTATGCACCCAGTAAATTCATTACAGTTTTCACAAGAAGTCCAGTTTGTAAAACCTATCCACTGTCCACTGATGGAGTCCTGAGTATAGAGCTGCTCATGGCAACTGCAGCCCCAAAGCCTTCACAGCAACTGCAGTCCCAAGCCATCATAGTACAACTCCCCATATGAGATCACCAAGCCATCTCCATGGCCCCAATTGG